AAAACAAAATGAGGGTTCTAGAGGGGAGGGGGGTGGGGGGATGGTTTAGCCTGGTGATGGGTATTAAAGAGGGCACATTCTGTGTGGAGCACTGGGTGTTATGCACAAACAATGAATCATGGAACACTCATCAAAAACTAATGATGTAATGTATGGTGGTTAACATAACAACAAAAAAATTATTAAAAAAAACACAAACACATAACTAAATTTTTGGGACCTTGGCATAGGCTATGTTTTAGAAAACACTAAAGCATAAGTGAGGAAAGAAACAATAGATTGATTGAACTTCATTGAAATTAAGAACTTCTGCCCAGCAAATGATAGGACTAAGAAGACAAACTACTGAATGAGAGAAAATATTTGAAAATCATATATCACATATGGAAAAATATGTAAGCAATACTTACAAATTCATAATAAAAAAAGACTACTCAATTAAAAATGGGAAGACATTTAAATATATACATCTCCATAAAAAATGCAAAAATGGCCAATAAGCCCATGAAAAGATGTTGAACATCTTGGGAAAATGCAGGTCAAAAACAATGAGATACTGCTTCACATTCTTTAAATAATCATAATAAAAAGTACAATCAACATGTGTTAGTGAGGATGTGGATAAATTGGGATCTCCTTGAGGCCCTTTGTTCAGCACTGCTCCAACTCTGGTCTCTCCTTTCCACTCTCAACCCAGTAAGAGCTGCTGCTGAATTAGCCTTAGGTTGTCTCATTGTGAGTGTGTGTTTATATACATTTCCCTTTCCCTTCAGTGGTGCACCCTGAAGATTCTAGCCATTACAACCATTGTGAACACTTTCCTCTGCCTCCTTAACTCAGTGGGAATTCTGTACTTTCCCTAGGACTCCCAATTCTCTGTGCTGAGATCAGTAAATTGTGATGGGTAATATCGGATTTTTATATAATCAATATGTTTCTTTCCTTCAGATATTATAGCTTTGCATTTTTTATTGCTTTCTAGAAACCATTTCTTTCATGTATTTTGTCCTATTATATATTTTATTATGAGAGCTAGTTAAGCACTATTTAATAAAAAAATATATTGCCCAATTAATCCAATAATGATTAGGTCCAATTTCTTTAATCAGCCTTTGGAGTAATTAAGCACATGAGAAAGAAGCTTCACTTCCAATATGATATCATTTTTAGTTAAGGTGAATTGATGGAGAGTTGACCTTTCCTGATGGATGAGGCAGGAAAGGACAGCTTTAAAAGTATTGAGTTCTACCATAGCCTAAACCCACTATATATTTGCTTAATTTTAATACTTTGCATATATTTGTCAATTTATTTCCTATAATCCATGTAACATCCTGAGTCACTTTCTTTTAGGTAAATCGCTTCTTATCAACATATAATTGGATTCTGTCTATGTTTTAAAGTTACAGAATTTTTGTCTTTTTTTGGGAGACACTAAATTCATTTGCATTTAGTATCATCATAGTTGTTTTGGTGGTAATTCTGATGGCTTAATTTAGGGTTTTATGTATTTAGTTGTCTGGTTTATTTTGTTTAATTGGAACAATGTTTTATAGGTTTTTCTAATTTTCTGTAATGTCTTTATAACACCCAGAGGAATATTTATTTTTCTAATTAATATAGTCAAAATTAGAATACTATCAACTTACACAGATAATATGGAAATTTAACCTAGTTTACAAACATTGTTTTTAAAAGTAGTCATCAGTTATGTCAGTAATTTTTTATTAAATTAGTTTTAAAACACTTCTTTTTGCTTTACTTTTTTTAATGGAAGAAATATTAGATAAGAATATCCATTTAATGTATTCTACATAGCTCATAGAAGGGAATGTAATAGAATAAATATATTTAATAAAGCACATAACTAAAGATTAAATATACATATAAAAGATTAAAAATAAATGTATGTCAGTGATATAGATATACATACACACATACAATTGACTTTGGGGAATAGTCACAGAATACAGGAAAATGCTTTTAAATTTGTTTATTTCTTCTCTTACTGTATTATTTGAATCCCTAACTTTTATATTTCAAATTGCTAATATGCTTTGAATATAATTCTTGAAAAAGTTAAAAGGTACTCTCATGTTTTCAGCTCAAGAGAAGTACCTGCCTATAAAACGACGGCCTCCTTCTCAAAAAAATAGCCTCTTGTTTGGTTTCTACATTTTTCTACCTCTCATTGTTTTAACCGCCATCATTGCTTTTAAATGCAATAAAATAAGATTTGGGAACCATGAGGGAACAGCAACTGGAGGGTAAGTAAGCTTATTATTATTTATATTTAATATTAAAATGCATTATAGGAAGATTTCAAATGTAATTCAGAATGTTGCAAGTAGGGATTCTTGGATGGAGTGTGTTAATATTTAGAAATATTGAGTCTTAGTATATACCAAATTGTTTCTAAATTTCAATCAGTTAGGTATCCTTTATGTTCTTATAGGTCAGAAACAACTGAAGATACTTAGTAAATTCATAGGACCTTTTAAATAGAAAGCCATGTTGGCTATAATTGCTGCAGGAGCAATTGCTACTTCTCAAGGAACCCCACTTTCCTTCCATTGACATTCAGTTGTGCCAAGGAGATTAGTAAAGATAGAGAAGCAAATTTTGTGAATAGAATATGTAGAAGGTGAGGAAAATATAAAAAGAAAATAAGATACAAAAGAAAGAACACAGAACACAGACGATTTTACACTTAATATTGTTCATGTGTTTCTAAAATTAGAAGTAAGGTACTTGTACAGCTATTTTTATTTTTTGGTAGAGCAGAGCTTGATTAGGTCTTTTATTTTAATTAAATATAATTTATATATGACATTATATTAGTTTCAGGTGTACAACATAATGATTCAATATTTTTTATATATTACAAAATAAGCACCATACATAGTTACAAATATTTTTTTCTTCTGATGCTGACTTTTAAGATCTACTCTCTTAGCAAGTTTCAAATATGCAATACTATATTATTAGCTATGTCATCATGCTGTATATTATATACCCATGACTTATTTATTTTATAACAGGGAGTTTGTAGCTTTTGACCCCCTTCACTCATTTTGCCCACTCTGTACCCTCATCTCTGGCAACCACCAGTCTGTTCTCTGTATTTATCAGTTTGTTTAGTTTTAGATTTCACATATAAGTGAGAATATATGGTAGTTGTCTTTCTGTGTTTGAATTATTTCACTTAAACACAGCTGTTTTCTTTACCATAACAGCAATACAAACCATAATTTTGCTTAGTGAATATTTAGGAAAATGAGAATGCAGAAGTAAAGATAAATAAGTGGATCTTGTTGTTCCATGCTAAAGGAAAATGTCTGTTTCTTACTTGTGTAGATGGAGATAAAATAATATAAAATTTCCATCAGCATTTCTATTTTTCAAGTTAGTTTATTTCTCAACAAGTTAGTAGCAACCAATTAAAGTCAGCATAGTTTGTACAGACATTTAAATAATCATTATAATTTATTTAATTGAATGATGTCTGGCATAAGTCTTCCACTGCTCTTACTTAAGACATCCTGGAAAAATCTGAATAGTTGCTAGAAACAAACCTGACTTTTGGAAGAAATGTTATGCTAAGGGATCACTGATCATAAATAAAAAAAATCTAGTCACAAGTTTTGGATCAACACTAAGTGGTTTTAGGGCCACAAGGGTAAGTAATTATGTAGAGCTGAATTCTAAAGCGATGGTAATGAATTAGATATTCAGGAAATAGGTTATTCTTTCCATCACCCAAGGGCTTTATGAATGAAATCATCTCTTCTTAACTATCAATTCTCTCCAAAAGGACTGCTCTGCTTGCAAATAGTCCAGCATACCTATATCAATCCTTTCTAGATTCATTATCAAATAAAATGCAAATAATCTGTCCAAAGCCAATGCTTCTTAGTTCACATTTTCAAGAGATACAAGAGGGAGGAGTAGGAGACCTAAACTTCGTCTGGTCCCAGGAATTCAGTAGACAGGGATCAAACAATTCTGAACACCTATGAACTCAACAGGAGATTGAAGAAAAGAATAGCAGCAACTCTCTGAACAGAAAAGCGACCACTTTCTGGAAGCAGTGACCCAACAAGTGGCAGATCTGGGGAGACTCCCCTTCCTCCCCCGGGAGGAGTGGCACAGGAGCACACCGCAGGAATTGGCTGGGTTTGGAGACTCCACACAGGGTTGCATGCCAGAGATAGAAATGCTCAGTCACAGGCCAAGTGAGCACGGAGTGCGGCTGGAGACCAGGGAGAGAGGAGTGATTGACTGCTTTTCTCTGGGGTCTCACTGAGGAGTGGAGCCCCAAGTTCTCGGCTCTGCTGGGGGGGAAATTGGGAGGCCACCATTTTCACTCTAGTCCTCCAAAGCTGTACAGAAAGCTTGCAGGGAACAAAAGCTCCCAAGAGCAAACCCAAGCAGATTACTCAGCCTGGACCCGGCAAGGGCAGGGCAATTCTGCCTCCAGCAAAGACATTTGGGAACCATGGCAACAGGCCCCTCCCCCAGAAGATTAGCAAGAACAGCCAGCCAAGACCAAGTTTACCATCAATGAGAACGGCAGAACTCCAGCGCTAGGGGAATACAGCACACAGAATTCATGGCTTTTTTCCCATGATTCTTTAGTCTTTCAAAGTTAAGTTTTTTTTAACTTTTTTCTTTTTTTTTGAATTTTTCTTTTTCCCTTTCTCAACCAACATCTTACCAATCTTTTTTTAAAAATCTTTCTTATTTTTCATTTTTAGAGTCATATTATATTCCTTCAGAGTAGTTAACCTTATTTTTGGTATATTTTAAAGTTGTTCTCTCTTTAAAATTTTGGGACACAGTTTCTTCTAACAGACCAAAATATACCCTAAATCTCTAGTGTATGGCTTTCTTCTAGTCATCTGCCTGATAACATATTCTCCCTATTTTTTAAAATACTCTTCTTTCTTTATTCAAACAACTTCTTATCAATTCCTATTATAAAATCTTTTATAATTTTCATCTTTACAGTCATATTCCATCCCTTCATTGTATTTACCCTTATTTTTGTATATATATAAGTTTTTTTTTTCTTTAAAATCTTGGGAGTCAATTTCTTCTAAAAGACAAAAATATGTCCAAAATCTAGGGTGTGGCACTGATCTATGCACCAGACTGATCATATTTGATCATGTTCTGTTTTTTTCTTTTTCTTTTTTTTAGTCTTTCTTTTTTCTTTTTTCTTTCTTTCCCTTTCTTTTCCCCCAGTTTCAGATCTCTTCTGATTTCTTTAGTGTCTGTTTTTCTGGGGTTGTTGTTACCTTGTTAGCATTTTGTTCTCTCATTCATCTATTTTCCTCTGGACAAAATGAAAAGATGGAAAAACTCACCTCAAAAAAAAAGAAGAGGCAATACTGACTGCCAGGGACCTAATCAATATGAACATTAGTAAGACGTGGAACTAGAGTTCAGAATGATGATTTTAAAGATACTAGCTGGGCTTGAAAAAAGCATAGAAGATATTAGAGAACCCCTTTCTGGAGAAATAAAAGAACTAAAATCTAACCAAGTCAAAATCGAAAAGGCAATTAATGAGGTGCAATAAAAAATCGAGGCTCTAACTGCTAGGATAAGTGAGGCAGAAGAGAGGATTAGTGATATAGATACCAAATGATGGAAAATAAAGAAACTGAAAAAAAGAGAGATAAACAACTACTGGATCACGAGTGCAGAATTTGAGAGATAAGTGGTATCATAAGACGAAACAGTATTAGAATAATTGGGATCCCAGAAGAAGAAGAAAAAGAGGGGTGGAAGGTATATTGGAGCAAATTATAGCAGAGAACTTCCTTAATTTGAGGAAGGAAACAGGCATCAAAATCCAGGAGGCACAGAGAACCCCTTTCAAATAAAAAAAAAAATAGGTCAACACCCCGACATCTAATAGTAAAACGAGTCTCAGAGACAACGAGAAAATCCCAAAACCAGCTCGGAAGAAATCTGTGGCCTACAATGGTAGAAACATTAGATTGGCAACAGACCTATCCACAGAGACCTGGCAGGACAGAAAGAACTGGCATGATATATTAAGAGCAATAAATGAGAAAAATATGTAGCCAAGAATACTATATCCAGCTAGGCTGTCATCGAAAATAGAAGGAGACATAAAAAGCTTCCAGGACACACAGAAACTAAAGGAATTTGCAAACACAAAACCAGCCCTACAAGAAATATTGAAATTGGTCATCTAAGCAAAGAGAAAGCCTAAAAATAACATAGACCAGAATGGAACATAGACAATATACAGTAAGAGTCACCTTACAGGCAATACAATGGCACTAAATTCATATCTTTCAATAGTTACCCTGAATGTAAATGGGCTAAATGCCCCAATCAAAAGACACAGGCTATCAGATTGGATTAAAAAACAAGACGAAGAAGACCCATGAATATGCTGTCTTCAAGAGACTCGTTTTAGACCCAAAAACACCCCCAGCTTGAAAGTGAGGGGGTGGAAAACAATTTACCATGCTAATGGACACCAAAAGAAAGCTGGGGTAGCAATCCTTATATCAGACAAATTAGATTTTAAAGCAAAGACTATAATAAGAGATGAGGAAGGACACTATATCCTACTAAAAGGGTCTATCCAAAAAGAAGATCTAACAATTGTAAATATCTATGCCCCTAACATGGGAGCAGCCAATTATATAAGCCAGTTAATAACAAAAAAGCAAAGAAACACATCAACAACAATACAACAATAGTGGGGGACTTTAACACCCCCCTGACTGAAATGGACAGATCATCTAAGCAAAAGATCAACAAGGAAATGAAGACTTGAAATGACATACCAGACCACAAGGACTTCACAGATATATTCAGAGCATTCCATCCCAAAGCAATGGAATACAAAGTCTTCTCTACTGCCCATGGAACATTCTCCAGAATAGATCACATCCTAGGTCACAAATCAGGTCTCAACTGGTACCAAAAGATTGGGATCATTCCCTACATATGTTCAGACCACAATGCTTTGAAACTAGAACTCAGTCACAAGAGGAAAGTCGGAAAGAACTCAAATACATGCAGGCTAAAGAGCATCCTACTAAAGAATGACTGGGTCAACCAGGAAATTAAAGAAGCAAATTATAGCAGAGAACTTCCTTAATTTGAGGAAGGAAACAGGCATCAAAATCCAGGAGGCACAGAGAACCCCTTTCAAATAAAAAAAAAATAGGTCAACACCCCGACATCTAATAGTAAAACGAGTCTCAGAGACAACGAG